GTTTGCTGTGAGTTTTACAGACTGTATGGCCATGTTCCATACAGTCAGGAAAGGAGAGAATGCTTCTGGAACAAGGCCATACAGCCCGGGAAAACTCATAGCAATATACAAGTCTGTTTGCATCAAATGTGTAGTACAGTCTGAAGTATAATTCAGTTAACATGAAACCTATAAGCAATGTACTTGTATGCTAAATACATGAAGTTTGTAAGTAAATCAACTATGTTAAACTTTTAATGAAGATTACCTATTTTTGTCTCTTGAGAACATGATTTGAAAGCAATATATTTTATGGGAGAGTAGATGATATATTTTTGGGCAACTGAAACAACACTTCTGGAGATCTGCTATATATTTTATGCATTTGCATATCTTTGTTCCTAACAGTTTAAAGCAGGGGCCCAGATGTGGCCCTCCATGGTCAGCTCAGGGTCAAAGTAAGCCTGAAATGATTTGAAAGCACACAACAACAACAACAACAACAACAACAACCCTATCTCATCAGCCAAAAGCAGGCCCACACTTCCCATTGAAATACTAATAAGTTTATATTTGTTAAAATTCTTCTTCATTTTAATTATTGTATTGTTTTAAGTGTTTTTTGCACTACAAATAAGATATGTGCAGTGTGCATAGCAATTCATTCTCTTTTTTTTCAAATTATAATCCGGCCCTCCAACAGTTTGAGGGACTGTGACATGGCCCTCTGTTTAAAAAGTTTGAGGACCCCTGATTTAAAGAGATAACTGGGTATATCAGTCAAACAGCTGACAAGTGTTATTTGCCTTGTATGAATACAAGGGGATATTTACCACTAAGGAGCAGGTTGACTCAAGTGATTTTTAAACTCTTCTCAGGAAGATCATACTTTACCAATTTTTTTTAAAAAAAGTTCTGATTCAAAAACTTGCCATCAGGCAAGATTTTTTTTCTAATAGTATCAGAGGTGACTTTGAGAAACTGCAAGTCGTTTCTGGTGTGAGAGAATTGGCTGTCTGCAGGAACGTTGCCCATGGGGACAGTTGGATGCTTTACCTTCCTGCAGAAGGCTTCTCTTTAAAAACACAACATTTAAAAACTTGGCATTCTATTAAATGTCCTTTGACCAGTAGCTGGCTACTAGGAATGCCTCTGGTGTTGCTATAAGGTGTTGCTCCATTGTGCATGTGGCAGGGCTCAGGCTGCATTGTATTAGGTGGTGTATGGTTTGCTCTTCCCTACACTCGCATGTTGGGAATCCACTTGTGGCCCCATTTCTTAAGGTTGGCTTTGCATCTCGTGGTGGTGCCAGAGTACAGTCTGTTCATCATCTTTCAAGTCACCCATCAGTATCAGCCATGGCTTGAAGTTCTGGGTTTTAGCCTGCCACTTTTGGACTCTCGCTTGCTGAGGTGTTCCTGTGAGTATTGAGAAGCCTCCCCGCAGGATTGCAACACATCCCTGGATACGTCTTTGTGATTCTCTCACATCAGAAGCAACTTGCAGCAGGCAACCAAACAAACTAACTAATTAGGGGACTGGGTTGTTGTAAGTTTTTTGGGCTGTATGGCCTTGTCTAGAAGCATTCTCTCCTGACATTTCTCCTGCATCTGTGGCAAGCATCCTCAGAGGTTGTGTGGTTTGTTGGAAACTAGCTCTTGTCTGTTGAAGGGAGGTGTGGATGTTTCAATTGGCCACCTTAATTAGCATTTGATGGCCTGACAGTTTTTAGGTTGTGGCTTGATACTGCCTGGGGAAATCCTTTGTTGAGAGTTGATTGTTGAGAGTCCCTGATTGTTTCTTGTCTGGAATTCCCCTGTGTTTGAGTGTTCTTCTTTAAGAGATGCCATTGAAATCCACAAGCATGTGGACAATTTCAACAGAAAGGAAGAAACCGAGGGAGAAGAAGAATCAGACGATGAGGGTTTGAAAGTGTCCATTTCTAGACTAAAAGAGGAAAAGAGACAGAGCACAGACTGCGTTCAGCTAGAATAGCTGCTAAAAATGCTGAGCTAATTGGGAGACGCCCTAGCACCTCCTGCGTGGGGAATTCAGGGCTATAAATCAGAAGAAGGAGCAGTCAGCTTTCGCTGGTAACAACTACCCCAATAGTGATGTTTTGACTCCAATGTAGCCTGCTTTGTGTCTGCTGCTAAGGACTTAGTTCATTGCCTGTTGCCTGATGGAAGACTGGTGTTCCTTTTGGGACTGTGTTAGAGACTTTAATTTGTGTCTGGATTAAGACTTCCTTGCTTTCTTTTGAACTTTTCAATTGCATTTGCTTATCCTTTGTGTTTGCTGAAATAAAGAATTTTTCTTTTACTTTCAAAATAGTCTAAAGGCTGTTTTTGAAGGGCAACTCAGGACAGAAACCATGAAAATGAACAAAATCTGGCTACTAGCATTTAAACAAACTCTAAAATTATAATAATAAATAAAGAAGAACACTCAAACACAGGGGAACTCCAGACAAGAAACAATCAGGGACAGCTAATCACCTCTCAACATAGGATTCCTCGAGGAAGTAACAAGCAACACCTAAAAACTGTCAGGCCATCAAATGCTAATCAAGGTGACCATTTGAAACATTCACACCTAGCTCCAACAGACACAAGTTCTTTCTCCCACCCTGGACCTTCCACAGATATATAACCCAATGTTCCTAGTTTCCAACGAACCACACAATCTCTGAGGATGCTTGCCAGAGATGCAGGCGAACATGGCCATACAGCCCGAAAAAGAGTCCCAATCCGGAGGGTTGTGTGCAAGGGGGAGGGGGGTGATGTGACAGTGGCTGTGTGGGGGGGGAGAGATGTATGTAAATCTATGTTTGCACTAGCCGCCCACTGCCAGGCGTTGCTGTGGCCCAGTCTGGTGAGCTGCAAAATAAAGTAATGAGAAAGTGTTGGTTTCTGATATATGTAATGTCTTTATGCTTGTGGGTAAACAATATTTCTTGCTGTTTCTTTGCCAGTGTTGATGTGGAGAGTGTCTGGTTTGCCTGCTCTGGAACATGCAAAATAGAATTGTCCTTCTTTAGGGTCCCTTTCAAATCTATAATACTATATCTGTCATATAAACATGTGTGTGTGAATCATATCTATCTATCTATCTATATCTATGGCTGACTGTTTGTCAGGAAGGCTTTGATTATATTTTCTTGCCCTGATGAAGAGAGTTGGACTGGATGGCCTTAAGTATTTTCTGTTGGTCATGTGTCGGAGGTTTGCCCCAATTCTGCCATTAGTTGGGTTCAGAATGCTCTTTGGTTGTAGGTGAACTATAAATCCCAGCAACTACAACTTCCAAATGTCAAGGTCTATTTCCCCCAAACTCCATCTGTTTTCATATTTGGGCATTTGGAATATTCGTGCCAAGTTTGGTCCAGATCCATCATTGTTTGAGTCCACAGTGATCTCTGGATGTAGGTGAACTACAACTCCCAAACTCAAGGTCAATGCCCACCAAACCCTTCTAGTATTTTCTGTTGGTCATGGGAGTCCCGTGTGCCACGTTTGGTTCAATTCCATCGTGGGTGGAGTTCACAATGCTCTTTGATTGTAAGTAAACTGTAATCCCAGCAAGTACAACTCCCAAAGGACAAAATCATTTTTGTTAGTGATGGTCACTCCTTGGGTTAGTAGGTGTCTTGTGTCCAAATTTTGTGGCAATTTGTCCAGCGGGTTTTGAGATATGTTAAACCCACAAACGAACATTACATTTTTATTTATATAGACTAGCTTTACCCACCACTGATTGCTATGGCCAACCTCCCTTCCTTCTTTCTCTCCTTCTTTCTCTCCTTCCTTCATTCCCTCTTTTTCTTTCCCTTCTTCTTTCACTTCTTTTTCATTTTCCCTCTCTACCTGTTTTTTTCCTCCCTTCCTTTGCTCTTTGGTTCCATCCTTCCTTTTTTCTCGCTTTCCTTCCTTCCTCCCCTCCCTCTTTCTCTCTTTCCTTCTTTCTCTTCTTCCTCCTTTCCTCTTTCCCTTCTTTCCCTCTTCTTTCCCTTCTCTTCCTTCCTTCTCTACCAGTTTTTTCCTCCCTTCCTTTGCTCTTTGGTTTCATCCTTCCTTCTTTTTCTCCTTCTTCCTTCCTTTCTCCTTTCCTTTTCTTTCCTTCCTTCCCTCCCTCTTTCTTTCGTCCTTCCTTCTTTCTCCTCCTCCTTCCTTCCTCTTTCTTTTCTTCTTCCCCTCTTCTTTCCTCTTCTTTCTCCTTCCTTCTCTACCTCTTTCTTCCTTCCTTCGCTTTTTTCTTCCATGCTTCCTTCTCTTTTTCTTTCCTTCGGAAGGGAGGGAGGGGGGGGGGTGCTTCCCTCCCTCCCTCTTTCTCCTTCTTCTCTTCCTTCCCTCCCTCTTTCCTTCTCTTTTCCCTCTTTTATTTCCTTCTCTTTCCCTTCTCTTCTTCCTTCTCTACCTTTTTCTTTCCTCCCTTCCTTTGCTCTTTGGTTCCATCCTTCCTTCCCTCCCTCCCACTTTCTCTCTTTCTCTCTTTCTTCCTTTCTCTCCTTCCTTCCTTTTCCTTCTTTTACTTTTTTATTTCCTTCCCTCCTTCCCTCCTTCTCTAGCTTCCTTTCCTTCCTTCTCTCCTTCCCTCCTTCTTTCCCTTTTCCTTCCTTCCTTCCTTCCTTCCTTCGCCCTTTCTGTGTGTGTGTATGTGTGTGTGTATATATACACACACACATACACAGAAAGGGCGAAGGAAGGAAGGGAAAGAAGGAGGGAAGGAGAGAAATATATATGTGTGTGTGTGTGTGTGTTTTGTGTGCGTTTTTGGAGTTTTTTTTCTTTTTAAGTCTCTTCTGCTGTATTTTTCAGTGTTTTTATGAGTGAGGGTCACTTGTTGGCCTGAGAGGTGTATTTGTGTCCAAATTTGGTGTCAATTCGTCCCGTGGTTTTTGAGTTATGTTAATCCCACAAACAAACATTACATTTTTATTTATATAGAAGAAGATTGTTTACCCCCCCCCCTCTCCTGATGCCTCCCTTGACTCAGTCTTTCCCCATCTGTTGCCTCCCCAGCAGACCGCAGCCGCCTGGAGGACCCCAACGAGGAAGAGGAGGAGATCTCTGCGTGTCCTCGCCACCCGCGCGGCTGCGTGGACGGACTGTGCAGCCAGGCGCTCCCAGGGAGGGAGGCAGAGGAGCCTGCGGCGGAGAGGGCCACTCCGAGAGCGCCTTCCTCGTCCTCCTCGTCTTCCTCCTCCTCGTCTTCCTCCTCTCCCATGGCGGCGGCCCCTCCCGCGGCCCCGAAGGCGAGGAAGAAGCGCTCTCGGGCGGCCTTCTCGCACGCGCAGGTCTTCGAGCTGGAGCGGCGCTTCAACCACCAGCGCTACCTCTCGGGGCCGGAGCGGGCCGACCTCGCCGCCTCGCTCAAGCTGACCGAGACCCAGGTCAAGATCTGGTTCCAGAACCGGCGCTACAAGACCAAGCGGCGCCAGCTGGCCGCGGACCTCCTGGCCTCCGCGCCCGCCGCCAAGAAGGTGGCCGTCAAGGTCCTCGTCCGCGACGACCAGCGCCAGTACCACCCGGGGGAGGTGCTCCGGCCCCCGCCGCCCCCGCCGCCCCCGCCGCTACTCCACCTCCCGCCGCCCTACTACTACCCCTACTACTGCCTGCCCGGCTGGGCCCTCTCCGCCTGCGCCGCCGCCGCCGCCGGGGCCTCCCAGTGACTGACCCCCAAAACAAAAGGAAGGGCGCCCCTCTTGCGCCTTGGGACACTTTCTCAGAGACGATCCAGGCCTCCTCCTTTCCCGCAAGACCCCCGACTTCCCCCCTCCCCGGAATTCCGCCCCACATACAAGGCTTCTCCCCCCCCCCCCTTCCCTCGGGAGCCTTGCCAGGTCCAGCACTTTGCGGTTGTATGGAAATTGTTATTGTGACGACGATAATTATTGTTATTATTATTTTTATAGTCAATGTGAATATCTTATTCAGGCCTCTATTGGGGTGGGTGGGGCGGGTAAGGGAGGGGGGAGTCCTAATCACCCTCCAAGTGCCTTTTCTCTCCTCCTTTCTCCTCCTTTGCAGGGTCTCAGGCCCCTTCCACACCGCTGAATACAATCCCACCTTTTCTGGGATAGATTTATTTATTTAGAACTTTGATAACCCCTTCCAACAGTCAACTATTCGATGCCGACACAATATAATAACATAACACAAAATACAATTAGTAAAGGTAAAGGTTTTCCCCTGACATTAAGTCCAGTCGTGTCCGACTCTGGGGTGTGGTGCTCATCTCCATTTCTAAGCCTGAGAGCCGGCATTGTCTGTAGACATCTCCAAGGTCATGTGGCCAGCATGACTGAATTGAGCGTCATTACCTTCCCGCCGGAGCGGTACCTATTGATCTACTCGTATTTGCATGTTTTGAACTGCTAGGTTGGCAGAAGCTGGAGCTCACCCCACTCCCCGGATTCGAACCTGTGACCTTTATAGTCCTCAAGTTCAGCAGCTCAGTGGTTTAACACACTGTGCCATCACCGGGGTCCCCAAATACAATTAGCATATATTAAAAACAGTTATAAATATACATTAAAACAGATTGCCGATTCAAATCCTCATCCAAATCAGTCCATTGCGGTCCACTAAAACCTTACCTTCACCAGTAAATCAGTCTATTCTGCAATGGCTTGATTCCACAGCCAGGATTTGAGTTTCTTTCTGAAGATCAGGAAGGATGGGGCAGATCTAATCTTATTAGGGAGGGAGATCTACAACTGAGGGGCCACCACAGAGAAGGTCCTGTCTTTCCTACCCACCAAAGATGGTGGTGGGACCGAGAGCAGGGTTTTGCGGGAAGATGCTAAGGTCCTTGGTGGATCATCCTGCTAGGTCCTGCTCTCGGTCCCACCACCATCTTTGGTGGGTAGGAGAGACAGGGCCTTCTCTGTGGTGGCCCCTCCGCTGTGGATCTCCCTCTCTAATGAGATTAGATCTGCCTTGGTGGTTCGTAGAGGGAGATAAGTTTGGACAGCCAGTGGAGCTGGTGTAACAGGGGAGTTGTGCACTCCCTGTACCCCGTTCCCTGTTCCCATGAGCAGCCTGGCCTCCTAGTTGGAATAGCTGAAGCTTCCTAGCATCTTCAGAGGCAGGCCCACCTATATTCCTATATTCGGGATGTAACCAAAGCAACCAGAGTGTGGACCACCGTGGCAGTGTGGACTCAGATAACCCAGTTCAAAGTCCAATGCACTCTCTTTACTTTTGAGGCCCTTGGTTTCAGCCTTCTGTGCCAGGAGAGGAAGGGGAGTGAGCTGACAGCCCAGGTGCCAAGTGCACTCAGCAGGCCTTAGGCCCTGTGCATTGAAGTCTCCCCACACTCCCATACTAGTGGTTGGTGGCTGGGAGTGGTGTGTGTGGAGCCCCTCAGCTGCCTTCTGGTACTCTCTGGATCCAGGTAAACAACAACTCCCATTTGAAAAAGGGCGACCGTTCCCCAATCCCTGCCTCTATACACAGTTGGGCACATTGGCTCTATGTGCCAGGTTTGGTCCAGATCCAGCATTGGCTTGGTTTCCATCCATAGAGACATCACTATCAAACCAGGAAAAAGTAATTGACAAAATGGCCAGAGAGAAGAAAAGAAGACTTTTGCTGTAAAGTAAAAAAAAAAAAAAGTCAGAAAGTATTCTAAACGATTATGTTTATTCATATAATGATCTGATCACCATGCTCAATATATCTCATATGCATGGGGGTATTGGGATAAAGATACAAAAGGTTTGCCAGGGTAGACCCTCTTTCACTCAGACTCCCCCCCCCCCCCCCAATCAAAATCCTGGCTATGGGCTTGGCTGTATGGAAGGGCCCTTGGTCTGGATCTACTCTGCCCTCTATCCCAGGACCAGGCTTTGCACAGAACTATATGAGTCTACACTGCCATATAAAATGGGATAAGCAGATAATCTGGGGCCCTTTCACATAGCCATATAACCCAGAATATCAAGGCAGATAATCCCCATACAAGCTTTGAACTGTTATCCGAGTCCACTCTGCCATATAACCCAGTTCAAAGCAGATAATGTGGGATTTTACACAGCTGTGTGGAAGGAGCCTATGTTCAGATCCTGGGATATAGAGTAGTGTAGATCTAGCCTCGAGGAGGACCCAGTTCGACCTCCCACCCTTCTCTTTTGGAGGAGGTCTGCACTCTGTTCTTTCTCTCTTTCTTCTCCCCTTGAATTGTGAATATGTGTTTGTTCCTCCCTTCCTTCTGTATTGTTCTTCTCTCTCTGTGCGTGTTTTTTATTTATAAAGTTCAGTTTAACTCTTGGGCTGCAGCTGTCTCTGTTCTTCACTTTCCGTAGCTGTGAAATCTTCAAATTATTTCCGAGTCAGGGATTTGTGAAATCCAGGGAACGGTTTACAGCAGGCATGGGAAAACTTCTGAAGTCCAAAACACCTGTGCTTATGCCTGGCTTACAGGGCACAGGTCCCTTTTCAGCGTCTTTTTGACAACAACAAGAAGGTAGTGTGAGTGTCAAACCCATTGGGGGAAACTACTTTCTATATTCAAGCAATCCCCGAGTTACAAACATCGGTTTTACAAAGGACTCACAGTTAAGAACAGGGGTGAGACAACAGGAAGTGAGCGAAACCCACCCCTGGAAAGGGAAATGCACTCCTGAAAGAGTTATGATGGGAGAAAGGGGTCTCCACTGAAGCTTTAGCACCAATCCTTGTTTCCACAACAAGCCAACAAAGCCAGCAAAGCAAACACCACAGGAGTGTTCACTCTTACCTAGGCTATCCAAAGCTAACAGGTACATTATTTAAATGTAAGTCCAGACGATGTATGTATCTAGGTATGTATAAGTAAAGATAACGGTTTCCCCTTGACATTAAGTCTAGTTGTGTCCAGCTCTGGTGGTGGTGGTGGGGTGGGGTGGTGGTGGTGGTGCTCATCTCCCTTTCTTCTCAGTCATGTGACCGGCATGACTGTATAGAGTGCAATACCTATTAATCTACTCATATTTTGAACTGCTAGGTTGGCAGAAGGTGGGGCTAACAGCCGGAGCTCATCCTGCTCCCTCTGATTCGATCCACCGACCTTTCAACCAGCAAGTTCAACAGCTCAGCGGGTTTAACCCACTGTGTGTGTGGGGGGGGGGCGGGGGGGGAGGTGTTCCATATCTCTATAAATGAAAATGTAATGTTCGTTTGTGGGGTTAACATAACTGAAAAACCACTGGGTGAATTAACACCAAATTTGGACACAATACACCTATCAGGTCAACGAGTGACCATCACCCATAAAAACTCTGAAAAACACAGTGGAAGGGACTTAAAAAGCAAAAAAAAATACATTACAAAATCACATATATACACAAATACACATAGATATACAAATATACACATATATATGCACACACAAAACACATAGACACAGACTGGGTCACAGCAAGGCGTGGCAGGGGATGGCTAGTCTATATAAATAAAAAATGTAATGTTCGTTTGTGGGATTAACATAACTCAAAAACAACTGGACGAATTGACACCAAATTTGGACAGAAGGCACCTATCAGGCCAACAAGTGACCATCACTCATAAAAACAATGAAAAACACAACGGAAGAGACTTAAAAAGCAAAAAAAATATTAAAAAATATTACAAGGCATGCACAACACCACATATATACAAATATACACATATATACACACACAAAACACAATTACACAGAATGGGCCACAGCAATGCGTGGCAGGGCATGGCTAGTGTGTATATATATATATATATATATATATATACACACACACACACACAAACACACACACACACATATATATATTCATATACACACATATATAGGCTGGAGTAACGTTTTAAAAATGTACCTGTTCCAACTTACAAACACATTCAACTTAAGAACAAACTTCCAGAATCGATCTTGGTAGTAATTTGTGGACTTTGCCTGTAAGCCTCAAAGTCAATGCAGCATCGATTTCCATGGAAAGCTCCCAGGCCCTTCTGCTCCAAACCCAAATAAGACTGACTCCTAAATTCCTGCCGCCTGGATCAAACCTGACTCCAGCTCAGTCCAGTTCCAAAGCCTTTCAGTTTACAATACAAATCGTCAAATCCACTGGGAGCCTTTTGGGACAAGGCTCATGGGCAGGCATCCTCAAACTGCGGCCCTCCAGCTGTTTGGGCCTCCAACTCCCAGAAGCCCTAACGTGCTTGTACAATTGTCAGGAATCCTGGGAGTTGAAGGCCCAAATAGCTGGAGGGCCGCTGTTTGAGGATGCCTGCTCTTGGGGATCCTCTCTCCCCTTCCACCTAAAAAAAATCTCAGCAGAGAGGTTAGTTCTTGTGTCCCGGAACACCGCCTGAGCTCTGCGAATGCAGCATTCGGAAGGAACACCGCCTGAGCTCTGCGAGTGCAGCATTGGGAGGGAACACAGCATGAGCTCTGCGAGTGCAGCATTCGGTGTTCCCGCCTGAGCTGGGCGAGTGCACCATCCTCTCCCGAATGAAGCAAAGTGTGTATGAGGACTGAGACATCCTGGGATACCAAGGTGCTTGTTTATAAAGCCATTGTCCTCCCAACCTTGCTATACGCCTGTCTACAGACTTGGACTGTCTACAGACTTCAAACACAACTCCATCAGCGGCCTCCAGAAAAATCCTGCAAATCTCTTAGGGAGACAGAGGACAAATGTCCACGTGCTGGAAGAAGCAAAGACCACCAGCATTGAAGGGAAGCTCCTTGCCATCAACTCAAGGCGCCCTAATGCCAGATCACCTTCTCCCAAAGCAGTTACTCTTCTCCGAACTCAAGAATGGAAAACTGAGAACTTAAGCATTCTAACTGGAGGTCAGCTGTGACCAGCAGTGCTGCAGAATTCGAAACGGCATGAATAGAGGGCAAAAAGGAGAAACTGCCAAGAGGAAGGCATGTCAAGCTGGAAAGCAATGTCCTCACTGCACAAGAACATGCAGATCAGGATCAGGAA